TGTGTGTGTGTATGATGTGTGTGTGTGATGTGTGTATGATGTGTGTGTGTATGATGTGTGTTGGGGGGGTGACGAATGCCGCAGCAGGCATGTGCACGTTAGAGGACTTTCCTTCTTCCATCTTTACATGACTCCGACAGACCAAGCTCAGGCTGCTGTCTTACTGAAAAGCACCTTTTACTGCCGAGCCATCTCTCCAAGCCTTGACTCTGCTTCCTCACATGCACAGGATGAGCTTATTTACATTTGTTCTGTGGGGCTGGAAAGAAGGCTCAGCTGTTAGGAGCACGCGTTGCTCTTGCAGGGAACCTGGGTCCCATTCCCAGCATGGGCACCATGACTCACATCCACCCGTAACTCCTGGTTCAGGGAACCTGAAGCACTCTTCTGACTTTTGGGGACAACAGATTTGGATGCATAATCCTGGTGGGCCTGGAACTGGACAGTCACAGTAGGATGACCTTGGACTTGCAGTGGCTTCTGAATGGCATATACAGAAGCCCAATACTCATGCTCCCCTCTCCCCTTACACTTTTGACAGGATATTGCTACACTGGCCAGATTAGCCTCAACCTCAAGAATGTTGGGATTACAGGGGTATGGGCTCTCATACTATTGGTGACCATGGGGCGTGGCTGGAGACGCAGCTCTATACTGCCCCCTGCAAACTGAGGTCTTTCCAGAGACTTCCTCTCAGGTAAATCCAGGAAGAATTCTTCTTTCTCTCTTTTGCTTTTGAGACAAGGTCTCATGTAACCTAGTCTGGCCTCACTCTCACTAAACAGCAGAGGACCATGACCTTTGATCCTCTGGTCCTTCTGGCTCAGTCTCCCCAGGGCTAGGGCTTGAACCCAGGGCTTCATGTATGTGAGCGAACACTCTGCCAACTGAACTGTATGCTTAGCCCCAAGACTCAGAAAGGACCACGACATTTATTTACTGCATCTGGGTGCCATACATGCCACCACAAGGCACATATATGGTGGCTGAAGAAGGAAGTTTTTTTTTTCCCATGAAGCTCGGGCTCTCGGCCTTGGTGGGGCCACAGACATTAACAGCCTAGCCCCAGGACTTTTGGCCTGGCCACAGGAAAAATTTCAAGATGACTATGAAGAGATTGTTTTCCTGTTTTCTTGGGTGGATGACAATATAGGGTGATTGGGTTCTGATGTGCCAAGGATGGGATTGTAGCTAAGTAGGTAAAGCTCTCTTTCCCAGGGGCTGCATGGGAAATTCAGGTGTTTTCTCTAACAGAAGTCTGATCTCTTTTTGGAGAGTCCCAGACAGTGTGTGAGTAGGGAGTGAGGTCATGCTCATGGTGATTGGTGCTCAGGCCTTAAGAATGTCTTACTGCTGGGGGCTACAGAGACGGGTTCCGCAGAAAGTAAAGCCACCTATTTCATAAGCCAAGCCTGAAGACTTGAGTTCAGGGCCTAGAACCACCTAAAGGAAAGAGAGAAATGACTCCACAAGTGTTCTCTGACCACTACATGCAGGTCCCAGTATATTTACTTTTAAATTTTTCTATTAATGTGTATGGTATGGGTGTTTTGCCTGTGTGTATGCCTGTGTAATATGTACATGCAGTACCGGCAGAGGCCAGAAGGTGGTGCCAAATCCCCTGGAACTGGAGTTACAGCTCCATGAAGCCACCTAGTGGTGCTGGTATTCAAACCCACGTACTCTGGAAGAGAGACCAGGGCTCTTATCTCTATTATTACCGTCCTTTGATCCTCTGGTCCCTGGTCCAGGGTCTCTTATGTAGCCCTGGCTGGCTCTGGGACTCATTATGTACACCAGGCTAGCCTCAAACTCAGGAGATCCATCTGCCTCTGCCTCCAGAGTACTGGGATTAACAGAACACACTACCACTCAGCTGGTTCCAGGTCTTCTCAAGCTTTTTGCTTTTAAAAATTCCATTTATTTTGGGGTTGTGTCTTGGGGTTTCTACTGCTTCGAGGAAACACTATGACCAAACGATTTATTTGGCTTACACATCCACATCACTGTTCATCATCAAAGGAAGTCAGGACAGGAACCCACACAGGGCAGGACCCCGGGGGCAGGAGCTGAAGCAGAGGCCATGGAGGGTGCTGCTTACCGGCTTGCTCTTCATGGTTTGCTCAACCTGCTTTCTTGTAGAACCCAGGACTACCAGCCCAGGGATGGCTCCACCCACAGTGGGCTGGGCCCTCCTCCAAAAATCACTAATTAAGAAAATGCTCTACAGCAGAATCTTACAGAGGCATTTTCTCCATTGGTGTTCTTTTTCTTTTCTTTTTCACAGTTCTAGCTTTTGTCAGGTTGACAAAGAATTTAGCACAGTGTGTGTGTATGTGCGTGTGTGTGTCTGTGTATCCATATGTCATATCCCACGTCCTTGGAGGTCAAGGACAATTTGCAGGAGTCAGTTCTTTCCAATCGTGTGTGTCACAGGAATTAAGATAGGGTCGTCAGGCTGTTGTTACCCAGCATCACCTCGGCAGTCTTGTTTTAGCATTCATATATGAAAATTTCTTTATGCGGGCAGCCTTCTTGGCAAATATTAGTCGTGCTGGAATCCCCGTTCTCAGCTAGTGTGAGGCTTCCCATGTTCATTTAATTTCATCTTGCCTTGATACCTGGCTTCCCTTGTTCTTTTGTATAGCCTCAATCCCACAAGGTACATCTCAGCATACAGGAGATCTCTACAGAGAACTTGGGCATGTTAGCTCAGCGGAAGACCACCTGCCTACCATGTGTTGCCCTAGGTTCCATCCCTGCACAGGAGTAGACAGATGTCTGAGTGGGGCTGGGGGGGGGGTGTCCCTCACCCTCCAGTCCCAACTGCTCAAGACAAGAGCTAGAAGGATCAGTCTCTGGGAAAGTGACAGAGCAATCATTTATTACTATCTATTAAGCTTTATTAAAGGGGGAAAGAACTACCTAGGGTGGGAGGGGCTCTGGAGGCAAACACCCAGAAGGTCCCAATAAAGACCTCAACAGTTCCGGGCCAGTTTTAAGCAATATAGGTAAGAGCGTTCAAGTTACCCTCGGTGTTGAAAGCCCAGTGGGCACTTGGTGTGCAAACAATGAGAGCCTCAGTTAGTATTCCTAACATCCACATAAACACCAGAGATTGCTGCTGGCATCTGTAACCCTAGGGACAGGGAGACTGAGAAAGGAAGATCCCTGGAAGTTGTTGGCTAGCCACTATGTCATGTCCCCAGTTTCAGGTTCCATGTCTCATAAATTAAGGTGGAGCATAAGGGAGACATCTGATAACCTCGGACCTCCCAGTGTAACCCCCTCCCCATAGGTTAAAAATAATTTGTTGGGGTGCTGAGATAGCTTAACGAGTAAAGGCGGTGCCGCTAACCCTTATTTCCAGAGTTCAATGCCACGGACAGACACGGTGGAAGGCAAGAATGAAACCCCTCAAGTTGTTCTGGATCTCATTTCCACTACACCAACCAATAAACCTCTGTATTCCTATTTCTCAACTTTTATACTAGTAGTATACTGTCTAGCGTTTCAAAGGCCCTCTGTCTACTCTTCCTATGACTGGGGAAACTGAGGCCGACTCGGAACGCGCCTCCAGACTCCATCCGCACAGCCTGCCTGGACGCCCAGAGAGACCTTCCTCTCCCATTCTTAGCCCTGTGATTTCCACGCGGGGAGGACGGCTTTGCTCACAGCTGAGTCACTCGGATCTCAAAAGTTTCCTCCAAACCCTCCTCGCCCGGGGACCGGAAAAAGTCGGACTGTCCCGAGGCCAGATCGTCACACGGCCTGGCCGGAAAAAGCCTACCGAAAGTCCCTGAAGTCATCCCACTCTCCGGCCACCGAGAGGACAGGGCAGAGGACCGCCCCGGGAGGCCAGGCCCCGCCCCTGCCCGCAGCGGAAACCGGAAGCAGCCGGAGGCCCCGCTAGCCCTGCGGCGCCGAACTCTGTAGTCCCGGAAGCTCGCAGGACTGGGGAGAAGATGGCGGAGGAGGAGTGAGTGCGCTGCTTCGGGTAGCGGAGGCGGCAGGGCCGGGCCGGCGGGCGACAGCGGGCCTTGGGCGCCCGGGTGGAGTGGCGCGGGCCGACCTAGCCGCGGGTTGGCGGGGGGAGCGGGATGAGGACTCGGGCTCTGCGGCCTCCCAGAGGTCAGATATTGATCACCACGCGCAGACCTATAGCGTAGCCTGGCGGAAGCTGCGAACGTCATTCCCGCTCCCAGTTTCCGGTTATCTGAAGGTTGCCAGGCTCTCCTCCTCTTCCTCCAGGAAGTCCTTCCATTGCCCCAAGCAACCACCGACATCCCCTGTAACCATCAGCAACCTTCAATGTTCTTGTCTGTCCCTAGCAGGTTTCCTTCATTCATTAACTGCTGGTTGGCCGTTTCTCTCGGCCTTGGGTGTCAGGAGCCGCCCACGGGGAGCCTCCATGATGCTCTAGTGGGAGACGTTGTGTAGACAGGTTGTTTTCAGACCCTACCAAATGCCTGGAAGGAAATTGACTAGTATGAGGGACGAGGAGCCCACCCTAGAAAAAATGCCGTTTTGTGGCCTGAAACATGAAACCTTACAGGAGAGATGTAAGAAGAGGGTGACGCTGGGGCTGTAGCGCAGTGAGTCCCTGGTTCAGTCCCTAGTACTGCCAGGAAGGAGAAGGGAGAGATTACTTCAGAGTGACAAGTGGTTGACAGTGTCTGGAGCAATGACAGGATGAGGTCCACTCCAGCTCTTTTTGGGTATGTGCTACTGTTAGTCCATCTTCATACTTGGTAGGACACCATCTGTTGTGGCACATTACAAATTCTCTCTTTTGAAATGAGCCCCTGGGCTGGAGAGATGGCTCAGTGGTTAAGACTACTGTCTGTTCTTCCAGAGGTCCTGAGTTCAATTCCCAGCAACCACATGGTGCAGCTCCAACTCCAGGGTTTCCAACATCCCTGGCTTCTGTGAGTGTCTGCACTCATACGCACTGTGCACACAAGTTATAGAAATAAAATAAAATTTAAAAAAAAAAAAAAAAAGAAATGAGCCCCTGCAGATTAACAAGGAGCCCCTTAACTGATCCTGAACTTTTTACTGGGAGCATTTTAGGGAGCTCTTAGCCACCCGGGAACCAAGGCATTAGCTCTCTTGTGTACCTGTGCTGCCCCGGACACTAAAGTAGGCCTCACAGAAGAGGCCGTATAGAGCCAGATGGTTGGAGGTGCGGGTTTGAAGCTGGGTCCGGTTATGGGGTCCTGGAATGAGGCAGTGCTCACTGACCACAATTCTGTCACCACTACACGAGTTTATGAACCTAAGCTTGAGAGCACAAGAAGCCTCGGATAGAGTCGGGTGTTTCAGAGCAGGCAAACTGAGCCCTGTGAGATTCAGTTTATGGACATAATCCCAGTAGGGCTAGAATCTGACTAGTAGCGCCTTCGCCCACCATACCTGAGGTCCTGAGTTCAGTCCCTAGTTTAGTCAAATACACACACTGCATCCAAAATTCAAGGAAACTGTAAACTAGGAAAGTAAATAATGTTGAACCTGGGGTGTGGGGAGACTCCAGTTCCACCCTAGGAATTTGTTTTTGTTTTGTTGTTTTCTTTTTGAAACAGGTTCATGTAGCCCACAAAACTGGTCTTGAACTCACTGTGTTTCACTATGTAGGCCAGCGTGACCTTGGTCTTGAACTCTTAGCTTTCCTGCGTCTGTCTCCCAAGTGCAGAGATAACAGGCATGGATTACCATACCTTGCTGCCCTTATTAAGTTCAAAGGAGAGACAGCATCCTCCTCCTCTCAACCCTAGACAAGGTTTCTCTGCATAGACCTGGCTATCCTGGAACTTGCTCTGCTGGCCTCCAACTCACAGAGGTCTGTCTGCCCCTGTTTTCTGAGTACTGAGGTTAAAGACATGCACACACACACACACACCACCTCTCTTCTTCTGTTGTTTTTGGTGGAGAGAAAGAGACTTACTGGCAATTACCTCTAGAGGCTGGTGCATCCTGGGCAGGTGCTCTGTTCGTTCATTTCTGTGAGACAAGGTTGCACTGTGCAGCTCTGCTTTGCCTGGAACTCTGTCTAGACTGCAGACTTGTTGGAGTTAAGGTGTGTGCTGCTGTGCCCACCCTTTTACTTTATATCTGAGACAGGCTCTCACTACGATAGTGAGACTTAGGCTGGCATTGAACTCACTAGCCCCTGCAGGCTTAGAACTTGTGATTCTCTTGCCTAACCAACTGTTCCATAACCTCAGGCTTTATATTTTTGTTTTGTTAGCCTATGCCAACATGTAGCCCAAGCTGGTATTGTAGCTGAAAATGCCCTTGAACTCCTGATCCTTCTCCTCTTGCTCCTGGGTGCTGGGATTATCGGCCCAGGCCACGCAGCTGGTTTATACAGTACTGAAGATCAAACTTGCTTCCTGCAGGCACTACCAGCTGAGCTGCATCCCTGAACCTAGCCTTTTATAAGTCTTTCTCCATAGTCCTGACCCCTTTCTTCCTGACTTCTGGATGGATGGCAGTAGTCAAAGACAATAGAAGTCACTGGTATGCTGTGAGGGCAGGAATTCCTCCCTCTTCAAGCCCTGTCTGCTGTTTGCACCATCAGGGCTTTGCCCAGTTTTCATTCAGTCAAAGTGTATGTTTTGATTCCTTGACCCTTTTCTTTATCTGAATGCCACTTGTGTATCTCCAACAGGTTCTCCAACACAACCCATGAGAGCTTCAACTTCACCCTTCACACTACCTTGGGTGTCACCACGAAGTTGGTGCTGCCGACACCTGCCAAGCCTATCCTTCCGGTGCAGACAGGAGAGCAGGCCCAGCAGGAGGAGCAGTCAAGTGGCATGACCATTTTCTTCAGCCTTCTTGTCCTAGGTGAATAAGCCCAGAGCTGTCTGTTACTATCAAGACTTCCTTCGCTCCCCGAAGTCGACCTAGCAGTTCCAAAAAGCAATGTCTTAGCTTTTGAAAGAAGGAATTTTTTTTTAAAGATTTATTTATTTTATATATGTGAGTACACTGTAGCTGTCTTCAGATACAGCAAGAGGTGGCATCAGATCCCATTACAGATGGTTGTGAGCCACCATGTGGTTGCTGGGAATTGAACTCAGGACCTCTGGAAGAGCAGTCAGTGCTCTTAACTGTTGAGCCATCTCTCTATCCCCCCCCACCCCCCCACCCCCACAGTTTTTAAAAATGCAGCTGAAGCCACATAATCACTTTAGGTTCTCTAAGGGTAAAAAACTTCAGGGTGTGTGTCTGAAGTGTGTGCTTCATTGGACAGCAAAAGTGACTATATTTACTGGTCTGCAGCAGAGACAGGATCTCAGGATGCCCTGGCTGGCTTTCAACTCACTAAGAAGCAGTTAGCCTCTCGAGTGCACATGTACCGCCACCCCGGGCTTTATTTATTGTCCGCTTTTCTTTGGTAATACCAGAGTCATCTTTTGAATTAGACCTTTCTAGGAGACCAGAAGGCAAAACTGGGTTTTGAGTATTTCTTTCTTGAGACAGTGTCTCGTGTAGCCCAGGCTGGCCTCAGTCTTGGTAGCTTGGAGGATACCTGAACTTCGATTCTCCTGCCTCTGCCTTCCCAGTGCTAAGACTACATGAGTGTACCACCATGGCCTGTATGAGTATTTCTCTGATATCTGTTAGGACTCGGTTTTGAAGACAATAATTTTTTTTTTAGTCACATTTATCTTCCGGCTAGAGTAAATGGTCAAAGAAGTGAACACTAATGACTGATCTTTTATTTTCTGAGACAGTCTCACTTTGTAGTCCAGGTTGGTCTCAAACTCCCAACAGTCCACTTACCTCTCCATCCCAGTGTTGGCTCAGGGGTGGATGGCAGACGCCACCACACCCTGTCTTTGTTACAGCCCTAGAACAGTGGGCTTTATCGAGTTTACATTTCTTTAGTGTATGAGGTTTTCTTTGAGGGTGTTGCCATCTGGTGGCTCTGCTAGAGGCTGTGACAGGCATGCCCGTGTGGCACACACCCCTTTGCTTTCATTTCTATGAGTAAAGGCATTGGATTGTAACCTGGTGTTATCTGAGCTTGACAGCAGCTCAGCATGGCTCTTGGCTGAGGAGGAAGGCTTTTACCTTACTCAACCTTTCATTTAACCCTTTCTGAGCTCTGACTCCATAGGAAACAAGTCAGGACAGTTAACACTGTCTGGCACAAAGGTTCTGTTTAGTGAGTTTCACGCCTCCAAACAAATGTGGCTGTTGCTTTTCTATTTTTATTTTTATTCCCAGGAGTAAATGAAAAAACTGGCTTTTATAGTGGACAGGGGAGCTTCATGCCTATAATGCCATCATTGGAGAGGCCAGGGCAGGCAGCCAGCCTTGCCTACAAGTGAAACTCTTGTCTCAAAACTTAAGCATGAGGCCAGTGAAAAGGCTGAGCAGGCAAAGGCACTGCTGCCAAGCCTGATGATCTGAGTTCATTCCCCAAGAACCACATAGAGGAAGGAGAGAGCCAGTCTTCCGACCTCCGCTCGCCTGTCATGGCACACACTCCCCACCCCCCATTTAAAAATTAAACAAGCCAATAAAAACACAAGAATGTAGTTTTCCTTAAGTGTGTGTAACTTGGACCTTGCTTTCTTACTGTATGTGAGGGGTTTAGTAAAGAAACTGCTAAAAATGGCTGCCCCATTAGGACATCTGGAAGAGTCCAGAGCAGAGAGAGACAGAAGTGGACTGGACATGGCCAGGGCTATCTGCCAGAGAGGCAAGAGAGCAGGGGTTGAATACCTGTAGGGAGGGAAGAGCCAGAAGGCTAGCCTGGACAATGAGATAAAACCATAGTTGTGTGTCAGTGGAGTGCCATGTGTCCCTTCTGCCAGAGGCAAGGGAAATAACTCCTTTTGGGAACTGAAAACCTATTTCACAAGTTCCTGAGGAAAACTGACTTTATCTAACCACCAGAAGTCTATCTGTAGTTAAGCTTGAGCCCATTTCTGAATGTGGACTACCTGAGACCTGACATTACAGCCCTTGATGATGATAAGGGGGAAAGAAATATCTGAGTGCTTCAGTGCAGGGGCCAGGGGTCATCTTCATGGCTCAGAGAGGCTGGAGTGGAGGGGACAGGCAATGGCAGGAGATACAGCAAAACAAAGCCTGAGAAGTTTTCACGTGATAGAAGTGTGGATGTTCATCTGTGATAAGTCAGACTTCCTGTCTGGAAAGAGAACAAAGGGGAAGAGCTTGAGGCCCCCAAGGTGGTTCTGGGTAAAAACATGCCCAGAGGGCTGGATGGACGTAGATTGGACAGAGTTGTTTTCAGCACAGTGAGGCGCATTGTTAAGTCTGTGTTTAGAAAACAACCAGAGGAAATGAAAACTTTGGAGTCTGTGACCACAGTAATTGTTTTTTTCCAAGCTTTAGTAGCTAGTGGTTTCATCACCATGACGGGATTAACAGTTGATCAGAGTCACTGAGTGAACCTGGAAGCTTTAACAACGGATGGATCCTCTTTCTCAGTTTTTACATACCTCAAGTCATTTCCTCAGACCTTCACAACTTGCAGTCCTACACCTTAAGTGACTTGCTTAGATCATAACAACTTACATAACTTTAAACTTTTCTGTGGAAACATCCAGTCTTTTACTGTGAGACACAGCGGCTTCGATGACCGAGAGCAGTCACGGAGAGTACTTGCCCCTTTCTCACATGAAACTCATGCAGGCTGCCAGGTAATTGTGTCTCAGTCTCAAAGCCTTTTTAGTTCAGAGATCCAGGTAATTTAATCTTCTTAAAAGTTTTAAAATTCATATCACCAAGCCACATGTCCACCTGTTGCTTCTAAAATTACGATAAAGCCAAGCTGTTTTAAAGGTGAACGCAGACTTAGTTATGAATGGACTGGTGAGGGAGTACAGCCTTGAGGAAGGAGCTGAGGGCTGGTTGCTGCGGGTATACTGTCTGATAAAGCTAGGGTTTGCCATTAATATCACCAGAGATTCGAGAAGGATGTATTTGAGTAGGAAGTATAGACCAAATAGTGTGTGTACCTGGGAAGCCTGGAATCCTGCAGGGTGGGCGCTATGGCTTTGTTGGGAGCAGAAGTCAGCCTTCTGCTGCCACTCAAGACAGCATCAATCTTTTGCTACCAGACCCAGAAAATCTGAGAGATTTTCCTGTGGAGGAGGAACTTGGGGGGTTGGGCTACTTTGGTGAGGCAGGCTGGAGTAGTCTACCCAGCAGTAGCCATAGTTTGGGCAGGGCCTTGGCAGCAGGTGATCAGTGGGTCAGTTCTTCGCCCATTGATCAGTGACGCCATACTCAAAGCATATCTAGGTGGACTCTTCTTTGGAGATCACCTCAGAACTGCCAGGACTGGTATTTCTGTCTTTCAGGGCAAGTCTTTCTCATTAGACACATTAAATGCTCTAATCAGCAGATCTCTCTGAGGGGCTGAAGGGCTGTCGTCTAATCTATTAAGGTGTTAAACAAACTGTACTTGTTTTTAGTTACTACTTCAGGCTTAACCTCGACAGTATACACCAGAAGGCTAAATAAGCCTTGTCCCTATACTCGAATTACATTTATACTTAGCATGACTGTAAGCATAGTTCTGAGCACATTAAAGAATTTAGCCATCTATGATCTGACCATTACTGTCTTGGTTATCTGTAACAGTTTGATCTGAC